GACTATCAGTCATTCAATTGTCCATTGTCGAAGATGTGACTAAATAGTGACCACCCTGTAGCTACACAAAGTAGTCTATTGATCTCTCATATAGTATATTCATATCACCTCCCACTGCTTTTTATTGATCTACTGCTCAGGTTTCCGATTCACCACAGACTCCCCTCGACCAAAATCGTCAGACATCGGTGTTGCCTACCCTCCCGGGAAAGTCGGCTTCAGCGGAGGTTCCGGGTATGTTCCATCAATATAGGCGGTCTACATTTTGAAAGCAGAGTTAACTATGGTCCATTATAAATATCAAAAACATACAAAATTAAGAGCAATACTGTGCAAGCCTATATACATCACATCCGCTCGTCCTTCCATATTCGATTAATTGCGTCATAACACGTTTTTCTGGCTGTCGGATATGTAACACTTGCTGCGCGCATTTACACCAACTCTACTCCGTGTGTACCCACAAAGCGACTAAGCATAGGCAATGGCAGTACTGTGCATATTATATCGTACACCACACTCATCCATCATGCGTTACTTCGACCAGGTTTGCCATCACGCGAGTGTCCAACTGCCCGATGAATGCGTGGGACTTTGTGCGTAATGCCACCAGCACGGAGTCGGCTGTGATGTCGTTGGTCAATTTCGCACTCGAGAAGGCACCTCCATACAAGAGTGTGTGGCTTAGAGCTCCCTGGAACTCAGACACATGGAAACCCTATATCTGGACCTTCGACAATGGTGGGTGGCATGCATAAGCAGCACGTGTAAGCTTGTAGGTTGAGAGTGTACGTTTATGTGTGGGTTTTTTGGATGTATACGTATATACTGACATACAAAGACAGATTCACTCTCACATTGAGAACAACACTTGTCTACTAGCGCCCGCAATCGGCAATACAAGTGTAAAAATTGCAGATTTTACTCTTAGACCTTCAATTTCATAAAGTGTCTTGCACCAGTTTTTCCTATACGGATACGTGTACGTACATATTTCACTTCATTCATGAATATATATATATATATAAATACACACACACACACACACACACACACACACACACACACACACACACACACACAC